GGGGAGGCCATCTCCACGGTGAAATGGCTGAGGTCACGGCGCTGGTTCTGGGCGAGCTGGACCGTTTTCTAAGAAGTCTGGCTGCTTTGTAAATCTTCTTCCCATTGCGGCCGGGTGGTCTGAACGGCGGGCTCTTCTGCGTGACCGAGCAGACGGGAGCCGGCGGGCCGAGCGTTCGTGCTGCTGGGCGGTGCGGTGGGAGCGGCTGCGGGATGGACACCGGTGCGGGATCCGCCGGAACACGCTGCCTGAGGAAGGAAACCAGGCGTCGGCTGAGTCCAGGGCCGTAGGCGAAGTTTCATCTTGACATTTCATTTCAGCACCTGCCTTATTTCCTCATGGAGTCTACAGACCCGTGCATTGGTTTTCGTAGCTGTTTATAAGTTACTTTATTGCATCTAAAAATTCCAGGTCCAGTTATAATAGTCGCATGGTCAGGATGATGGGTTCATATTTTCTTAAGGATTTTGGACCCCATCAGCTGAGGAAAGGCTTTCGGGGACCTGGGAATCTACTGTTAGCCTGTCGGTGCTGTTTCCTGGAAAAGAGCATCGAGTCTACTTTCTTGCCCATGGACTCCCACACACCGGGATGTGCCCCAGTTCTCGCCACACATCAGAAAGTCTGTTTATTTTCTGCTAAGAAACCTGTGAATTTGGTATATGTGCATGCCACTTGCAGTCAGCATTGCTCAATGGGTCTGATTTTTTGTTTGTGGAGAAAGAATGGACCCTCTGCAAACCTGGTTAACACGGCTAAGTGTTAGTCTCCTAACACGAACAAGACTGTCAACATATGAGCAGACACTGGAGCGTTAATGATTTTCTGAAAGACCCGAAAGTCATTGCACATTGTAATTTGAATTACCTACAGTTTTGAATTAACCCTTTGCGGTCGTATTAAATTTGGACATGGGTGTCATACTGGTCGGAATTAATTTCCATTGCAAGAGCAGTGATACATAACATGCAAGATTATGAAGGATAAACAAGAGAAATTATGAACTGATACATGAATGGAGTCAAGATTCGTATGGTTCCTTGCTGTGGTGGCTG